TGAGATCCCTTTTCGCAACTAAATTTAACAAAATTTATACATCACATAGACTTTTAGCTACTTTTAACAGTTTTTTTTTCACAAAGTCATGAATTCCAATGTCTTTTGGTTGTCCTTTATGAGTCACACTAATTTGCTCTTGTCAGATGTTGCACATAAAGTCTTTGCAACCTCAAGGGGCGGAGCAGAGAGCCAGATTTCTATGCTAGATTGTGATTGGTTCAAATTCAAGGTCAAGACCCAGGCATATTATGAAATTGATAGTTTTGGACAATTTAAAGTCCCAGAGACTTATGACGGTAAAAATGTCTTTTAAATTGTTTCCTTTAGAATAGACCATTAAATCACCCTTAGATTTAGTACAATCCCATGACAAGTAATCATTTTATGTCAGTCTAATGATTGTTTGTTGGTTTGTTGTTTACAGGAAACCAAATTATGCTCTGGGGTTCACTTCCAAACTCCAAGGAAGACAATGGAATGAGCGACGATGACCTTATGGTGGAAGAATGCTTCAGATGAATTTAAAAAGTTGTAAATAGAACAGACAGATTGAAGTAATATTTATATATTTAGTAAATACAAAATCAATGTAAATATGTTGGCATTTTTTGCCTGGGAATTCACAAGACAGTGTAGATATAGACCACTGCAAGTGGCATTCAATTTCCCTTGTTTTTTGCTTGACAGTGCTTCAACTTTTGCTCTCAGTGGTTCATGGATGGTGTTGTAGGTTACAACTGTTTCGATTCCATGGGGGTAAAAAATTGCATGTAATTACTGGAAGTTCGCAGAGTCAGATAATCAAAGTTGGACCATAATGTGCTTTCATGCAGTTGTATGCATAAGTTTTGAGCAATTAAAGCACCTACATGTACCAACAGAAAAAAAAATAACATTATTATGATAACTTTAACAAAATTAGCCCAGTCATTGTTGGTCCACCAACTGTTACAGTGGAATACACTTTTGTCAGAAGCTGAATATTATGAGGCAGATAAATATGGTGGTGATGAATCTTGTACAATAAGTAAACTAAAGTAAAAGTTGTTTTCTCATACTTTCACTTAGCTGTCAGAAGGCTTTAGTGATTAGGAAAACTGGTTTTGTAGTAAAGCATTAGGAAAGTTTACAGTTTTTACA